GAACAAGGTGCATTCGGGACGCAACAACTTATGGATCATTCGGTTCTTCTGTCTTGGGCCTCCAACTATTTTCTGAAGCTCCTCCAGATATGTTGCCCGATGCCACCAGGTGACCCGCCATCATCCTAGTGTCATATCATCTGGAAAAGATTTGCTCCTTTGTACCCTGCCATTTATGATCTTGGGGCTGATGAAAAGATGCCGAGCTGTCTGAAGCAAATGCCAGAACCGTGGCGTTTTCTGTACCGGGCTTATTGTAAGAACACTGCTCCAGCTTCAATGACACTGTTCAGGAGCGACGACTTCCTCATTTGCTCTCATTCTTTCCAGCTCAGCGAGAGCTTCCTTTCATGCCAAAAACTTGTAAGACTCATCAACTGTTCTTTCTTCTTGTTGTTTGAAAGACAACAGAATATGAAACTCTGGAGCAGAGCAAGGCAACGGCAGCGTTGGAGACCATCTCATTTAATGAGGACAAGGGAGGAAAGGAGACTCGGCCATTAATTCAGCACGGCAATTTGTGGCCAACGATTTCTTGTAGATCTGTTGGGGCTGGCGATGAGATGCTAAATTAGTTACATTTAGTTACATTTCAACTAGTGCACAGCCAGATCAAAGTACACACATTCTGTGACCCAGAGCCAAGCTAAGCCATTCCCAAAAGGTTGTGTGATCTCTTGACAGCCCTACCTTGAAGATGCTTCTATAAAATCTTGGGTTGTTTTTCAAGCAGGTCCGTGTACTCCTTTTTCCAGAACTTTTTCCACAACTTTTCCATACATACGCCACACTCTCAAAATTACAGGTGATTTCACACCGAATGAGCAAGCATGGGAGATGTGCACAATCCGTGTCATGCTCTGATTCACAGGCCTATGTACAAAATGCATCTCTCATCTTACCCAAAAGCAAATTTTCTGAAAGGACTGAATTAGCCTCAGACTTGAAAAACATGGCATCATCTTTAAAGCAATAATCAGTCTAGTGAAAGGAGGGGAGAAGAAACCAATGACTGCGTTCATACAACATACATGGCCAAGACAGTTACAAACCCAGTGGCTGCATTCACACCACATGCTAAACTTGATTAGTTCTAATCTTGGGTAATTTTTTATGGCTAATCCTGTGCCAATCCATTCAGATAGCTCATGGTTCACTGTACTGTGCAAACTCTAAAAACAGGTTAACTCAGTAATCAGGTTTAGTTGTTGTATGAATCTAATCGAAACATTTTTAGACTTGCTTATAATGTAAAAGCCTTGCGCTCCAGAAGCTGGACTGATCGGTGGACTTAGTTGAACCCTGTGCTTGTCTGGGTCTGTTTTGAATTAAACTGAACCTCCAGAGGATTAGTTGGCCTGGTCAATGAACCCTATTTCAGAGTCATTTGCAGGAGAGTGAGAAAAGTCCTGCCCCTTTTTAAAATGTTTTAGGGCTTCAATCATGCAGTCATGGACACAGTCTTGACTTTTTGACACACACACACCCAGCTTCCCCTGCCTATTTTAGTGTTCCTACCAAGCACCAGTGTGAACAGACATTGATTACTGAAAGTGGATGGAACCAAGAGATGCAACTGAATCGTCCTTAAAAAACAAAACTCAGAATCAGGACTAAACTTTCAGCAATTATTTTTCCTTCTGGGGGGCTACTCTTCTGGGGGAGGAACTGAATGAAAGGATTGAGTGGCAGGAAAAATAAGAGGACAACATACCCCCCCCTGGAGAAATACCTCATCCCTGGAAAAGTTTTTTTTTAATTTTAGTCTCTGGTTCAGTTTTGGTCCCTCCTAGCGAGTCCTGCCTTCTTCGACTTTCAGCAAACGTGGTGGATTCATTTGAAAAAGCACATCCTGAAGGCAGGATGGAGACATCACAGCCAAACGATCAAGACAGAAACCGTTCCAGACTTGTCTGATGCCGATTTATCACAAGGCTAAGACGGCCAGTACCAGCATGAATCGGAGCACCATATGGCACTGGAATCTTCCAACATAGTTATATTTAGTTTCCCAAAATAAGTCGGTGCAAGCATTGCCATAGTCTGAGATTTGCTATGTGGCCAACATGAAAAAGAGACGCTAAGATCTTCCATATGTTTCCTTCTGACTCCCTGTTTGGAACCTCTGAATTGAAATATGGCCACTGGCTCTCTGTAAATAAGTCAATCTCCACTAAAGGCGTGATTATGATTATTTATGTATTATGCCTGCTCTTTATGGACTTATCCCCAAAAAAGTTGATGTCCAAATTAATTTATGTATTACATAAATTAGTAATTAAATTATATTAGTGGCGCTGCAATAAGCTTGCAAACTGAATATCCCTAGGAGCTATTTTATCAGTGACTTAATCATACAGAATAATTCAGAACCGGGTAAAAACATACCCGTTGCTTTGCCAGCTTTCTGGAATGTGACAGGGCTGCCCTGTGCCAAACACAGGAGAAACTGCCTTATGGTGAGTCAAAATTCTGGTCCACGTGGATTAGTATTTCTCACACTGATTGCCAACAGCCATCCCAGACTCCAGACAGATTTCTCCAAGTGGATTTGGACATGGCTAGGATTGAACCCAGGATCTTCTACATTAAAACCTGGTGCTTCATCACTCAGCTATGGGTTGTACCACCATAATATTTCCCAACAGGGAGGAAACAAAGCAAGATAAATAGAGAAATAGTGAGAGTTTCCGTGATTACTGTGTTTGGTCCCTCATCAAATGAAAGCAGTGTTCTCTTTCCCTACTGGATGGAGCTGTTTGAAAGATTCACACACAATTGAGCTGAAAAGAAGATGTGGGCCATAGAGGTGGGAGGACAGAATGAAATCTTCCCAGAGAAGTTGCAGTCAAAAGCAATATTCTGGAGGAGGCCAAGACACATTAACTTAAAAGGCCATTTTTCTTTGATCAACAAGAAACTCCAGAGAATTCGCCAAAGTCCACATTCTTGCTGGGCCAATGATTTGCATGGAAACCTTCTGGAAAGGGCAAGAATGAGAATAGGAAGTGAAAAAGTCTTCCCTCCCTTCTCTTTTGGGGACTAGGTTTGCAGAGTAAAAGAAGTAACTTTGCAGCCTTTTGGGTTCCCACCTTCGTTAAGTTCATCAGAAATCTTTGGGACTGCTAGAGGCTTCCTATTTTCAGATAGAACCAAGGTTAGAGATCACTTAGAAACCCAGTGGCTGTATTTGCCCAAAGCAACATTTGGTTAACTGGTTTGAGGTCTTGTTTTGTAGCTCAGCACCCCTTTTGGGGCGGTTAGGATCCCCCGTATTGTGCAAATGCAAACAGTGGATTAAAACAGTAACCAAGTGAAGTGTGTTGGGTGAATGTAGCTGAGTTTGACCACAACACTTAGCAGGACTTAGCATCACTTAACAGGTGATGTAGCTGCGATACAAGAGGGTCTTCTTGCTCATTCAGTACCATCTAAAATTCCCATTGCAGAAGACATTAGAGCTGTTGGAGGTAATGTAGACAATTATGAAGGTAGTAAAGCAGAGATTGGAAACCTTTCAGTCCTAAAATCTCATAGTCCTTCCCGCTCGCTGTTTTCAGCCCCCAAATCTCCCCTCAGTCTTACTGCTGAATTCCAACACTACAAATGCCAAAATTGGCTGGCAAAATTGCCTTCCTTCTTTTTTTTTTCCAGCACACTGCATAATAATATGATTGGGTAAACCCTAGAATAAATTTAATACATTAAAACAGAAACAAAAGCCAGAATAGTTCTGCCAAGAAGCTAGGGAAAAAAAAATTAAACTCCAGCCTAACCCAAAATTAATTGCAACTCTGGCCAAAAACAAGATCTGCCAGCGTGTGAAGTTGATTTCATTTTTTCCCCTATATAAAGTTTACAGATCTTTATCACATGCAACCATCAGTCCTTACAACACCTAATACCTGCCTCTCCAGAATATGGTCTTCATGGTGAATCATGCTTTTTGATGTTGATTTAGTCTTTTTTTTTTTTTTTAATGGAAATCACTTAAAACAGCAGGGAATGGTTTTATTTTTAATTTCTTTTTGGAAAAAAAGAGCAGGGGCCAGAGAACTGGAACGTTCTGTATAACTGCACTGAGTCGTAAAACTTTCTTCTGATTTATGACTGGCACCCTTTGTGTTTACCAGCTTGGCATGTATAGAATTCTAGGCATGCAGTACAGAATCTGGCCTCTGGCACAAATATTTTCCCCCCAAAGGATCCATGCCAGGAAGTTGAGTGATTTTTTATTTTTAATTGTTTCTGGATGTTGTGGCACCACAGGCATTTTTTGTCAAGATTCATACCTTGCCCAAATTACACGCATGAAGTGGGACGAATCCAGAATGAGTTTGTTAAATGCAAACGTAAGATGTGCTCGCATAGCCCCAAAGGAGGGCTATGAAATGATGCAAAGGTGGTTTGATGGAACGCTCCCTTTCAACAGAATTTTCAAACCAACTGGCTGCATCAACAAAATATCTCATGGACTTAGAATAGGATATATAGTAGCCAGCTATATAGAAGTCTACCCATATAAACAAGGTAGAACATTAATCTCAGCTATTGACATCGTGGTCTGGGGCAGGAGGGGGAGGAGGACAAGCAATGTCAAATATGTCATGGCAACATCATGGTTTCTACCAGATGTTCATGGCTGCCATATCACTGAGAGTCTGAAGTCTGTCCATTCTTCTGAAAGTTTTCTCCTATAATTGTGGCTTCTCTTTTTTGACCTCCTTGTCAGGAAGCTTTAGAATTTCTTCCAAATGGATTTGATTGTTTTTTTCTCTCAGGTCTATTTCACTGATTCTCTTTTATTATGGTGAGGGAGCACAAGGTGGTATTGCTAGGTTTGGGCGACAGCTTTCCTATCAGCCTCCCTAGTTAGACCAGACCAGGAAATCAACTCCATATGATGTCTAAAACTACTTTGAGAGGGGTCCAAGAACAGAATCTTGCAAGTCTGACTGTGCTGTAACTCCCTCTTATGATTTAGTGAATTAGGGAGGGGTCTGCTTCAGCTACTTCTGAACGTTATTGCATGTTCTGGACTTAGACAATGTTTTCCCCTTATTTCATCTTGGCAATGGAGCTTGTGTATCTCTGCAAGGTCATCTTCCTTACTATCTGCATTTCCTTTGCTCTACAGCCTTTGTGGCTTCCCTGCTTCTAGATCTGAAAATGCCTTGTATACAGCGGTCCCGTTTGATATATTTCCTTAGGAAGAATGGAATTGTGGGAAGCCAAGGTGGCTACAAATTGCTGGAAGGACAAGAAATACAGGATAGTCACCCATCCTTTATCATCTTCATAAAGTCAAGGACTCTTCACCTAAGAGAACCCCTCTCCTAGGTTAAAAAAAAATCAAGATTTCCATTTCTTTCCCAAGGAAATGAAAGCGAATTGTTTTTAAAAATTCAGAGAGAAAAAATCTCAGGATAGCATTAGCCCACACTTTAGATAAGTGTGACAAGAGCCCTTGAGTATCCAGGTCCATCGTATCTTTGATATTTGGATCCAGAGAAATGGAAGATGGACACCAACCCACCTTCTTTTAATGTAACAGAGGAAAGAAGAAGATAGATTTATCCTACCGGGCTTTGTATAGTAAATTAAAGGCAGGGGGAATGAATCCTTGTGAGTAAAGCAAATTTGGGGAACTATGGAAATGTTGGCGAGGGGGCTCACTGGGTTAGAACACTCTGTGCAGAGAACACACATACAACAGGCAAATATTTGCGTTTGCAGCTTTTTCCTGTAATTGTAATTGTCTTCTCCTTAACACAACCAATCGGCATCAAGGTCCTTGGCAAACAATACTGGGAGATGGATTCCCATTTGCTTAGATTATACAATGCTGACATGTCACAGTGCCAATGTTTGTGTCATCTAGCTGATCCTTGGATCCAACCTGATTAATTAGATTCTTTGCCAGAGGCAAAAGTCATACCACCCAGCATGGACTGGGAACAAGCAAGAGGTCAAGGCTGCAGCTTTGGGTGAAGGTTGAGATCTCAGCTGTGGTCTCTGAGATCCCATGGGACTTTTCAGCGGACCTTTCCATCTGGCCTCCCACTGAGCTGTGGTTCTCCTGCTGTTTGGCCAAGTTATTGCTGGACATTTTGTTTTCCTGCTGAAAATCCCAACTTAACAAAAGGAGTCTGAAGGGACCAATGGAATTTCAGCCACAGGTAAGGAAATTACAATTCAACATACGAGGATGTTGTGCAGGAAAACAAAACAAAAATAGAACAGCAGGAGGAGCAATGTCACTTTTATCTAAGGTGGCATCCGTGGGCAGTCCAGAGGGACAGAATGATGCAAGTAGTATAGGGCCGTTGTGACAAATTTCCATTCCTTTTTAAAACGCACCATGATATCACATGCACAGATAAAAGAGAAGGGGCTTGTGTTGTGATGGTGTGATGATCCCCAGGAACTTCTGCAGATATTCTTGACTGTTAGGGAACAATCTGTCTGGATCTCCTAAACTGGAGCATCTGTCAGCTTGAATTTCAAGACCAGGAAATTCTAGTTTGGGGGATCCACCAGCTGCATCTCTGTTGGTAGAAGGTCATACACCAGTTCCCCCTCAAAAGACCACACGACTAGCCACAATTGTTTAGAAAGAGCTCAACTTCTACGTATTCTTGGTACTAAGTTAAGCACACTGGTAAACTACCGACATTCCAGGATTCAAAAAAGAAGGAAGTCTAGATGATCCAGGAATATTATTCTGCCTACAAACCACAGTTATGAACACATTGGCTTGGCTTACTTGTAGTGGCACTACTTGCATCAAAATGGCGAAGTTGGTGAGGTGGTTGCACAGGCAGACAGAATAATTGAGGTCGCCCCCATCGCGCACGCAGCCTTCATTGGACCAAACACCATTTCCGCTTCTGCAAAAGAGGTGCATACTTTCTTCCCTCTCTCACATTATTTATCGAACAACATTTTTAGGGTGCTTTTCTAAGGCTAAAGAAGACTTGCAACATGATGTAATATAATGTGAATTATGGAGTGGGGAAGGGAGAAGGCAGAGAGGGCTCCATAGAACCACAAATCATTCCTCTGACTGCTTCCTATTTGGACCAAATTAGAAACCCCACTCACCCAACTGTACTCCCTAAGTTTCTGAAAAGAGTCCCTAAGAAGAGAAACACAATTTCCCGGTGATACAATGAGAATGGTGCTGGAACTGGGTAAAAACTCAAGTTCCAGATTTCCAGGTTGATTTGGCATTCAGATGCACCTGGTTTTAGAAAGTGGTGGGGCAAAGAAATACCAAAGTCACTTAGAAGGTCCAGATGACAAGTGAGATCCAAAATGGAGATTTCTGGATTCACATCCTACTCTCTTAAAGACTACACTCCCCATCACCAGGTCCTCAAGTCATTCCAGCCCCATTATCCAGGGGGTGGGGATGTTTCTTCCAGCTGCCCATCAAATAAAAATAATATTATCTGGTCTGGAAACCAGGAGCTCAAACTTGCACAATGTCTCTTCAGCCACAAATATTGGCCTTAGTAAGATTCAGCTGAAGTTATGAGAACTTAAGTGACAGTGACAGTCCAAAAATTCCATATGGCTGAGCTGTATCACACATGTATTCCAGCGGTTTTCCTTTCCTCCAGATGTGAGTTTAAAAAAAAGTACCCACCAGACTTAAGAGAATAATGCACTTGTTTTAGCTTTGCTGCCTAGGAGAACCATGATTTCATTATTCTGACTCTTCCTGTGAATCCAGCAGGCAGGAGTGAGCAGCTGACACATTTGGGTGCACATTACAAATAACTTTTATACCAGGGTGACACTTACCTGTAATCCAGAAAGGCACAGTACAGTTTCACTTCATTGCTTTGGTTCACAGCTTGGCTATACTGGAGTGGAGCCTAGGAAGAAGGAAAGATAGATCAATGATTGGGCGGGGGGGGGAGGCTCTTTTTATTCATACAGTGCTTTCCCGAACTAGGTTCACAACTTTCTAAAACGGGATGAGAAAAACTTGAGAGTTAAAGAAAGTGAAGATGGGAGAAAACAAGTGAATAGATCTGATCATCTAGGCAGAGGGCATTCTGTGTTTTGGTCTTTAAAATCTGGATTTAAAGTCCTTGGTTATTCAGATGATATTTCTTTTGCTGAATTATTGTCCTTCCCTTCCCTTCCCTTCCCTTCCCTTCCCTTCCCTTCCCTTCCCTTCCCTTCCCTTCCCTTCCCTTCCCCAGCTGTTTAATTTCCAGGAAGTGCAATATATTTGGAATAGCTGCATTCACTGAATTTAACAAGCACTGATGGAGTTCATTTGGTTTGTTTGGTTAAGAAATGACCACAAAGTTAGCAAACATCTTCCTAGAAATGATGGCTTGGTGTCATACCAAAAATCTGAAAAAGCAATCGGAAGGGGTAGAATTTCAGCTCATCAACTTCAAAAAGTTGTGTTACTTGTAACCATGTAATCATGTATATGTCTTCAGTCCAACATCTGGCCAGAACTATCTGGTATACAGAAGGAGGAGGGGGAGGAGGGGGAGGAGGAGGAGAGGGAGGAGAAGCAGCAGCAGCACCTTGGGTGCAATCCCAAAACATCTGGAGTACTACTTGAAGACCATTGGCATTGATAAAATCATCATCAGTCCATTGCAAAAGGCAGTTTACTTGGAACAGTTTATATCCTGTGTCGATACCTTTAGCACCATCAAACAACAACATCTGCCTATCCCAGGTCCTAGGGAAGGACTCAATAGGTGGACAAAAATGCCAAATCCAGTCTAAACATCTGGCTGACTGTGCGACCAACCATAAGAATAATAATTCCATTACTTTCCCACTAGCATGGGCTGAGATGCTGGAACTGACAGAACAACCCATCTCTGAAATATCAGATTGAAGACCATTATAGCAGAAAATTAGCAGTAAAAATCCCCCAGGTATTATATTCTCATGGAAGTGATCCAAATGATATTAAATATCTACTAGGGATGAAAACAATTAGAAGAATTCCTTGAATTAAGAAATAACTCAGTAATTCTAGCCACAAGGGTGGATGTGTGTATGTCATTTAAGCCATTTGGGATGGGAGATGCATAATAATTACAAGCTTGCATAACCATTGCCTGCTACATGACTCTTTCCTTTTTAAAAGCATCCTGGAAAAAAAAAACTTGCCAGGATCAGGTGGGGCGGCCTGCTCTTCATTTTGCATCGGAGCAGAATGTTTTTGCAAAACTACAAGAACAGCTGCATTTGGAAAGCCTTCAGAAGGCACCACAGGAGCCCAGCCTTTTCACATGAAAAACACAACCCCTCGGTTCAATTTTGCAGCCGCAAAGGCATCTCCGAGCAGTTTAACCCTTGCCATGCTGAGATGCAAGGCAGGGAACCGAGCAGGTGGGAAATGGTATGCAGGTATATAAATAGAGCAAATTGCTCCCTTAAAAGCCCTAATTGTCGCTGGGAGAAATCCGACAGCGGTTTTGGACTTCAAGGCCGTACCCTACAGACTCCATTTCAATTCAACCCATGTTGAGGGTTGACGTACTGCTTGAGTGACATTTGGGTCATTCATTCTGCTTGAGTGACATTTGGAACAAACAGCACGCACGTACGCACACCCTTCACACCAGTTCCTACTGTATCACCGTTTGGCCCAAACGTTTGCAAGTTTGGCTCTTATGATTTCATCGTTTCACCCAAAGATGAAAACACTATCATTTCCTGCAACCCTGGAGCCCCGCCAAGTTCTAAGCCTTAAATTATGAGCCAGCCAGCCTGTGGACCCAAAAGGTTTCTTCTAAGGTGGAAAGCTTATGCCATAACATTTAAAAATATGTTTGTCTTAAAAGATGCTCCCATATTGTTTCTGATTTTTGGTTACCCTAGACCAGCATTTCTCAAACTCGGCAACGTTAAGATGTGTGGACTTCGACTCCCAGAATTCCCCAAGCTGGCAGGGGAATTCCAGGAGTTGAAGCCCACACTTCTTAACATTGCCGAGTTTGAGAAACTCTGCCCTAGACTAACAGCTCTCTTTTTAGAAAATCGTACTTGAGTCTGCCCCCATCCCTCAGGAATGTCACCAAACCCTTGAAACGAACTCCCGCTCATTCCCAAGTTGCCCCTTGCAAATAATAATGTTGTGTTTGCTTTGGGGGCAGTGGGCCCTAAAACCATTTCAAAGCAAAGAAAGATCAGCCCTTTGACTCCAAAGAATATTCACGATTTAGATTCCACAAAGGAAAGGTTGTTGAACCACAAGCCTGCTTGCACATACCAAGGCTTTGTAGAAACCACCGGGAGAAAAGATTCAGTGTCCCTGTTCCAGATGACAAGAGGGAAATTGTCGGGGATCAAGGCCGTGAACTGAAATGATCCCCTGAGATTCCAATTTCCAAGAAACAGATCAGATCACCCAACTTGGAGGAGGCCATCAGGGGGAGAAACACACACAGCAAACACCCTCTCCAAGGTTCAGCTTGTTGCAAGCCAGTTGGATTGTCATAAGAATAAGCTCCCAGATCAGATCCAAATCCCCCAGGCCAGCACCTTATTTCCAACAGAGCATCAGTTAGATGCTCAGAGAGAGACCTCAAAAATATTGCTAGCAAATCACTGCAGGCGCAGATGGACACCTTCCCATGGAATGTCTGGAATTAGATACTCCATACTCCATCAAGAAGGAAGATTATTCTCCCGCCCCTCTTGAACCTAAACCGATGGTCCTTGCCATTCCTTCTAGGACTGTATTTCCAGCTTGCATCACTCTGTTTAGAATACAGTCTTAACAGGCCACAGCAGGTTGATCTTGGAAAGCAAAGCAGGCTCGCACCTGGTTATTTCTTTATTTTTATCCATGCCTTCGTTGTATGGATTTGCTTGGGCCAGTATTCGGATGGGAGGCCCGCAGGGAATTCCTCCAGGCTACACGCAGGGCTCAAAAATCAGGTCAGAAGATGGCCAACCCCTTTTCTATTGCTGCCTAGAAAACAACATCGCTCTGTTCACCAGGAATCAAGTTCAGATGAAGGGCAGGTTTCATGTAACCCAACACCGCCAGAAGATTGTGCCCCCCCCCCTGCTCAAAAGTAGTTCTGGGCTGATCCCTCGGCCTCAATAACATTTGAGAGCTGGGATGACTTCTTTCCTGCCCAGTCGCAGCAGAGTGCAAACCACAGCAAAGCTAGCATCGGCTTTTGCTCCGCTTTGAAATGCTAAGCTTGTGGGCAACCCCGTTCCCCACGTTGGCAGGATCTCCCGCTGTCCCAGTTGCAATGCTTGAGTTCAAGGCAATCATTACCCCACCCAGTATAGCTTTATTTTCAAGAGCAGCTCCAAACAGCCCTTACTTTAAAAAAAAAAGTGTGTGGGGGGGGGGAATAATGATTCTCTGGAACCAGATGGTTCCCTGCTGGAAGAAAGGAAACAGAGTTTCATACCCACTGGCTTTATTTGAGTTTCTGCAGGATGGGGAAGAAGGACAAGATTCTGCAAAGAGACGAAACAGCCCAGATCAAATCTGGCTGGGTTTCCTGCTGCCTCAGCAGAAACCATCATGGAAACCACCATTGTGAAAAGGGCTTGACCATACCCGTGGCAACATGCTCCCCTTTGGGGTTCCCAGGTGAGAGTAGCTTTTAAACCGAGACAAAAGGAATGGTGGCATTCCAGTCAGGTAGCTTTCCTCATAGCAATCGTTCAGAATGTACAGGAGGTCTGTATTTGCAGACGGCCAAATATCAGCAACTCTGGAAACATGGAAGGAAGTCATGAGATGATGATGATGATGATGATGATGATCATCATCATCATCATCATCATCATCATCATCATCATCATCATCTTGTGTGGGATGGTGGAACACAGATTTTGTTACTCCAGGTGCTACAGAGCTCAGGGGGTAGGGACCAGTTCAAATGCCTTTTCCTTTTTTTCTTTTTTTATTCTTCTCTTCACCAGCGGGAGGGAGCACTGATTTGACTTCTCCATCTGTTCTCAGCATCTCCAGGTTGATGATGTCAATCTTACCAGGTAGACCAGATGAGCTAATTCTACTTTATTGTAAAGCTACATTGACAGAATCTTGCAAGTCTGA